GACATCTTACATCAACATTTTCAAAAACCTTGATACCTTACATGCAAACAAGGTACTTGGGTTCCAGCTGCTTGCTTGATTCAAACTGCGGTGGTGGAGCATTCATCAGCATGGCGGTTGGCTGCATGTACTTGGGCTGAAATGCCTGTGGAAGACCAGCCCTTAGCTGCACAATTTACACACAACAACTTTATATATGTATAAAAATATCTACACATATGCAAAACAATCCTAGATGACCACAAGTAATCCTAGTTGACTACAACAGTAATCCTAGTTGACCAAAAAGAGTCCTAAGTTCAAACAAGTAATCCTATTTTTACTTGGCATCCCAAGATCGAAGGGCCACCAGCAGGAGAATATCCTTCTTGTGGAGCTGCTGCTTTTGGTTCTGGTGGCCTCACCACCAGCAAAAACCAAGCATCTCATTGTTAGATCTTCCAGCCAGTAATCCTAACATGTTTCCAATGCAGCCTAGTGTCACACATTCATCTTCATGCGGGATCTCCAAGGCATTCAAGCTGTTGGCCACAGCTGGAGTTTGTGATGAAGAGCTGGCTGCCCCATAGGCCCTCATGCAATCATGGCAAAAAAATAATCCTAAGCAAGCCATGTTAAAAAGAGTTATCCTAGGCAACAAAGTAATCCTAGACTTTGACAAATTTATTTTCTTGCCAACTAGGTGCACCATGTCTGGGTCCACAATGCCAGGTGCTGAATCCCTGGAAGATCACAAACCGCAGTTCACACTCTACATAGATCCCACCTCCTATGAACCAAGGCACATGGCTTGCACATAGGCTTTGCAGAAGTCATCGAAGGAATTGAATCCCAATCTTTCCCTCCTCACAATTTCTTCTGTGACATGTTGTTTGTACCAAATGCCTTGTCACTACTTTCAGTATTCCTAGCCACCAAACAAAAAAAGTAATCCTAGATCCTAACTCAGAAAGTCAAGGAGCTGATGCTGTGTCATGTGCTTCCACTGGTGCTCCATTCGATGAATAGCAGACCCATACCTGAGGAAAACCAGGAAAGCAACAATCCTAAACAAGGAAAACTAATAATCCTAGAGGTGAAGACTAGTAATCCTAGAAAACATTAACAACATGCAGCCCAGAAACTTGGTGTCCTTCACCTCAGCCTTAGATCACCACCAGCAGGCTGCAGTGTCAATCACATGGAGTAATGCAATGGAGGCCCAACCATGGTCCTAAACAAAAACCTTCAAGTAATTTTCACCTTATGTATGGTCAAGGTACAAAGCAAACAGGGCATGGAGGCCACAGCTGAATGCAACAGTCGCACTGATTTCTGACAAATGAACCATCTGGTGTTCTTCTGACACCATGATAGAACAAGTTGCCAGGTTTTCGCCCCCTGCCCCTACAAGAGCCAATGTGCCACATGGTCACTTGAGCCAAGTGGCTGTCTTGCTTCTCTGCCCATCTTCCATACTCACTTCACAACGCAATGGCTTGTGACCCAAAATTTAGCCCATGTAGCTGCTGTGCAATCTCTTGCAACTCTTCCATGGTGAGGTAGAAATGTAGGTAAGCACTTCTAAGGTCTATCCCTGGCTTAAGCCTGTGAACCCAGGTGGGTCTATACCCAGTTTTTTCAGCCACCCAGTCACCAATGCGCCAGTAGTCCATGTTGACTGGCACATTCTTGATGTACAACCTTCCATACACCTGCTCAGCAGCCATAGCTTCACACAGAAGAGGTTGCTAAAGTGTTTTAGTGAGTCTGTTGTGTTTCAGTGTGTTGTGTGGCCTTGTTCTGTGCCAGTGTGTTGTATGAGCCTGTTGTCACACTAAGTTGTGTGAGTCTGTTGTGTGTGCAAGCTTGGGAATGTGAACAAAGTCGAGTGGTTTTCAGGTTTTTGAAATGTCTTGAGACTGCATGTTCTTTCCAGTTCTTGAGCAGCTAATATAGCCACACTTTCTGAGTTGGAAAAAGTAATCCTAGATGACAACAAATAATCCTAAGTGACCAAAACTAATCCTAGGTGACCACAAATAATCCTAAGTGACCAAAAGTATTCCTGGGTCACCACAAGTAATCCTAAGTGACCAAAAGTAATCCTAGATGACCAAAAGTAATACTAGAGCACAGCACACAGCAGCCATCTTTTTGCCCACACAGCTTATAGTTTGGAATTTGGATTCCAAAAGTTACTCTTCCTTCAACAAGCCATCTCTGATTTCTTGCCTAACTTTGTCAGCTGCTTCCCTCCCAGCCTCTTTGGCTTCTTCCTGAGATTTTCCAGCTTTCAAAGCGGCATGCTTGCCCTTGCGCCAAGCAGTTGATGTTGCCCTGTGCAAGAAAGTAGTTTTGTGGGAGGACTGCTTCTTCTTCACCACATTGGCCTTCTTGGCCTTTGTCTTCTTCACTTTGGGGCTCACTGCAGCTGAAGCTGCTGCAGGCTTCTTCAAGCCTTTGGCTTTCCCTTTTTTCTTTTCCTTTTCAAATCTGAGCAATTCTGCTGCATCCAAAACTTAAGCTCTTCCTTTTCATCAGCATTCAAATCCAAATCCTCCAAGAAAGCAGATTTTGAACTGCCCTTCCTTTCCAAGGGGCAAGGGCTACTGCAAGGCACCAGCTGGTTGTTGTCTTTGGCTGCATAAGTTGGAGAAGCAGGGTCTGATGCAGTTCTGGATAGAACCTTGTTGAACACTTTCGAAGGTGAAGGTAAGCTGCTACCCACTTCTGCTGGGAGTTCCTCCTGCTCTCTGTCTCCTTCCTTTTGCTGCAAATCATCTTCATGTAGCTGCAGAAAGGAGAGCGCAAAGTCTATATTTTTCTTCTCTTTGATTGATGCTTTTTAAACACATCTCTGATACTTTTTTGTGCACTTCTTCAATTCTCGATACTGTGAGCAAGCTATCCTTATTTTTTCGTCCATAGAATCTGCCCAGTCACTGTCATGCATCTTGGTGTAGTTGAGCCTGCCTTTCTCAGTCTGCAAAGAAGTCAATGCTTTCTTTAGTTTGCTGCCTTGCAGGACTCCATTGGTATGTAAGGTAAATAAACTGGAGCAAACATCAGTCAACTCATCTGTGCCAAGCCACTGTGAATCTGGAGCATGTTTCCAACTCACAGATTGTTTGCTGTGCAAAAGCTTGGCCAACTCACTACACCCTTGCCTCTGTGTGACCTCATGAATCTTTTTTTGAAGGTCACTCACTGAAATCGAAGGGTCAGGTCCAAGTCTGCTTTTGCCAGACATGGCAGCAATTGAGGGACTTGCAAACAGTTTGAATGTATGTTTTCCACTTTTTGTGCATGATTTTTCTTTTCAATGTCCATGTGACTGCACTGAAATGGCCAGCCATGACATCCAACTCTGCCATGTCATGTTCTTACAAACAATTTGAACGTATGTTTTCCACTTTTTGTGTATGATTCCTCTTTACAATGTCCATGTGACTGCATTGAAATGGCCAGCCATGACATCCAATTCTTAGCCACGCAGCTTGAAACCAGCTTGTGCCAACAGCAGAAAACATCAGTAATCCTAGCTGCAGATCATTCTTGACGCAAAAAACAATCCCACTCGTGACAGTAATCCTAGATGCACAAACACAAAAGAACTTGGGAAAACAACTTGTTTCTTTGAGTTTTCCATGAAAAAGACAGAAATTACCTCAAACAAATATCCTTAAACAACCTAAATAACCTTAAGAAAGTTAATTTTGCAACCTTAAAAAAGTATCAAATTAGTTAGGAAATAAGGAATTAACTATTAGGCAGGAAATTGTCTAACCAGATCTATTGGGAAGTGCTGCGCCTGCCACGAAATCTGCACATGGAGGTTCACAAAGTACTGCGCCTGCCACGCAATCTGCGCATGGAGGTTCACAAAGTGCTGCGTCTGCCACGAAATCTGCACATGGAGGTTCACAACGTGCTGCACCTGCCACGAAATCTGCGCGTCAAGAAACAAGTGAAAACTCTAATCACAATGGAGGGACGATTCCGAGAATGATCCGACCATGACCCGAGACCGTCTCGCAACCGTCGTTCCGCGGAGCTTCCTCGTCGAGGTTCGGAGAGCATAATGGAGGTTCACAAAAAGCGCCACGAAATCTGCGCATGGAGGTTCACAAAGTGCTGCGCCTGCCACGTAAACTGGAGCTAGAGCTATTGAAACTAGAGCTAACTGGAGCTAGAGCTCTTGAAACTAGAGCTACCTGGAGCTAGAGCTATTGAAACTAGAGCTACCTGGAGCTAGAGCTCTTGCAACTAGAGCCAACTGGAGCTAGAGCTCTTGAAACTAGAGCGTGGTGTATGATGAGTGGTTTTTGATGAGCGGTGTATGATGAGTGGTGTATTGATGAGTGGTGTATGATGAGTGGTGTATGATGAGTGGTGTATTGATGAGTGGTGTATGATAAGTGGTGTATGATAAGTGGTGTATGATGAGTGGTGTATGATGAGTGGTGTATGATGAGTGGCGTATGATGAGTGGTGTATGATGAGTGGTGTATGATGAGTGGTGTTTGATGAGTGGTGTATGATGAGTGGTGTATGATGAGTGGTGTATGATGAGTGGTGTATGTTGAGTGATGTATGATGAGTGGTGTATGATGAGTGGTGTATGATAAGTGGTGTATGATGAGTGGTGTATGATGAGTGATGTTTGATGAGTGGTGTATGATGAGTGGTGTATGATGAGTGGTGTATGACGAGTGGTTTTTGATGAGTGGTGTATGATGAGTGGTGTATTGATCAGTGGTGTATGATAAGTGGTGTTTGATGAGTGGTGTATGATGAGTGGCGTATGATGAGTGGTGTATGATGAGTGGTGTATGATGAGTGGTGTATGATGAGTGGTGTATATTGAGTGGTGTATGATGAGTGGTGTATGATGAGCGATGTAAATGTTCGTAACACGGAAGTTCCTTCTAAACTTCCTTCGATTATATATATTTGTATGTTTGTTTCTCGGCAAGTCTGCAAAACAAGCATTGGTCTTAGTCCTGCCTTCGAACCAGGGCTACTCTAACAACGATGCGCCCTCGGCTGAAGAAGTCCGTAAGAGAGTCAAGCGCTCGGATAGAGCGAAGAAATGAAGACTGCCAGGAAAGATGTGTGGTCGGGAACAAAATAGTACGTGATTGTAGATACCTAAGTCTGAACCTGGAGACACTGAGGCAGGCTCAGTGCTGGGACAACTTGCTGGTGATCCCAGGACTAGACCAGTGGTTGGCTGGTTGGGCGTTATGTTCATTATGATCAATTTGTATATACGTTCTGGCCAGCTCAGCGGACTCTCCTTGATTTGTTGTTGCGGACTAATTGGATTATATATATGCAATATGGTAAATATGAGTCTAGGTGCCACAGATCAGTGTCGAAGAAATGTTGTTTTTGCAACATGGACAGGGGGTCAATGAATTTGGCTTTGTGGCCACTGCTGCGGGGTACTGAGAGTGAATAGTTGGTTCAAGATTTGTGTTTCCAATATGGTTTGGACTGGCTTGAGGTTGAAAGCAATGGTGAACCCCTCCATGCTATTGGGCTTGCCGATCATTTGCCGCTGTGTGACGCAGATGGTGCAGCGTGGCTCCAAGCAGAGCGCTTTGCACCCTTCCTGCTTGCTGCCTCCCCAAAATGGTATGCAAGTGTAGGCGCTTATTACGTTGCCTTCTTTCCGGAGGTCAACAGCAAAACAAGACTGCAGGTCAGGGTGTGTGTGTGTGTCACACCCTGGTTCTAAGGGTTTTCCACGTTCTCATCTTTCCACTACAACAGAGGCCGTTTCCATTTTTCCACTGATGCAGGGGGACCAGGCATCTCGCTGCTAACCTGGTCTAACAAAGCTAGGCAGCGAGATGGGAAGCACTGAGAGACGTCTCAGTGTGTACCTGCAACTGAAACCTTTGACCACGCTGTCTAATCTGCTTGGTTTGTTTCCATGGTTCTTCATGATTCTTTCCCTTAAACAGGTTTCCCACCGCACCTTTCAGCAACTTGCGCACTGCATTTCAGCCGCGCGAGTGAAACACTTGTTAAACAATACAAGTCACCGGACCCTTTCACCTTGCCGTTCCCTCACCTTCCTTCCCAACGTGGCAATTGAGTCTAACTGAAAACCCAAGTTCGAAGTGTGGACCGCTCAGTCTTCCCACGTGGGTACTGGGTGTGACCCTCCGAAAGGAGGCGCCGAAACCATTCCGGATTTCATTGACCCTGCTTGCTGAAACTGACCCCCCGTTTGTTTGCTTTATCCCTGAATTTCCTGATTTTCGAGCCGCCGGGCTATAAGCGACGGAATTTTCACTAATGATTCTGAACCTCATCCGTACTGCGCATTGTTGCATCCTTGAATTTTTAACTTTTCACCCGCAGCTGTTTAGCAACCGATCAGCTTTCACACGTTCCACACCGCAGACCTCAGAGATTGCATTGCATGCCACGAATTCACCTTAATTGAATTTTTCACAGCACGTGCACTTAGGCTCCAGATTTTCGCCTTGGTCAACCTTTACGCCCAAAAAGGGCATGACCTCCATGCGTGCAGGCGGTTTTTGAGAGAAAAAGATCCATGTTTCCACCGCTTGCTCTGTGCGCCGATCACGGCTTGTTGTGTGTGTCACACCCTGGTTCTAAGGGTTTTCCACGTTCTCATCTTTCCACTACAACAGAGGCCGTTTCCATTTTTCCACTGATGCAGGGGGACCAGGCATCTCGCTGCTAACCTGGTCTAACAAAGCTAGGCAGCGAGATGGGAAGCACTGAGAGACGTCTCGGTGTGTACCTGCAACTGAAACCTTTGACCACGCTGTCTAATCTGCTTGGTTTGTTTCCATGGTTCTTCATGATTCTTTCCCTTAAACAGGTTTCCCACCGCACCTTTCAGCAACTTGTGCACTGCATTTCAGCCGCGCGAGTGAAACACTTGTTAAACAATACAAGTCACCGGACCCTTTCACCTTGCCGTTCCCTCACCTTCCTTCCCAACGTGGCAATTGAGTCTAACTGAAAACCCAAGTTCGAAGTGTGTGTGTGTGTTTTTGAAACGCTTGGACTCACAGGGATTCCGTTGATTTTTCATTGACTTGAGCAGGGGCACACGGCATCCGTGACCTATCGTGTGTAACGAAGCTACGGTCATGGATGGGAAGGGAAGGCTGATCACCTTCCTGTACCTGCTTGGTTGTGATGTTCTCAAGCTGTCACTCTCATATTCCAGTGAAGGGCTAACGCATGCCGCAGACTTGCGTCCGTCGTCACCTTGTCGCGATTCCGCTTTTCGAGTTCGTGGGCTTTTTAGAGGTTTTCACATGTTTGCACGTTGAATTGACATGCTTCCTCAGGAATATGGGTACCTAGGTTGGCGTGTGGCAAACCGCAATCGAGGCAGTACGCATTTCCCAAGTGTGTCTCTCCTAGTGAGAGCCCAGGGTGAACCCGAGGAGTGTCCCCTGTGGCCCCGTCAATTGGGGGCTTGTCCAGGCTCCCCGGCTTGGGAACGTAGGTGTCCAGAGCGGACAGCAGGAGGCTTACGCATATGCCAAAGTTATTTGCCAAGACTTGATGAATTATTGAATACAAGCAGGCAGCCTTCAGGCACGCCATTGGGTGACCATAGCGGTCAGAGCAGCCGGCCATTTTGGCAAGGCGCAAGGTGACCGCAGCGGTCAAAGCTAGCCTTCAATGTTTTCTTCCTCCTCCTTCCTGCAGCCATGCCGCCCTCTCCTGCCAGCCTCACTCCTATGGACGGAGTACCCCGAATCGCCCAGGCCATACTACATCGTGACCCTAAGTCACCGAAATTAGTAAATTTACATTTTTATTGGATTTACGTAAGTGGATGAATTTAGGTGGCAAAAAGTGTAAATGGGTTAGTACATGTAAATTTGATTTAGGTACAACCTATTTTTTAAGGTTGGTCTTCACTAAGGGCTTTTCCTATTTTTCATTACTTTTTGATTTGCAAATATTCAAAACTGCATCTAAAACACATCTTTTGAAGAAAGTACTTTGTAAAACATATAGCCACAAGTAGAGACACTTGGATAAAAGCACAAGCGCACACATTCAGGTATAAGCGCACAGGAAAGACCAGCGCAAGCAAAATGACTTGGGTGAAACAGAAAAGCAAGCATACTCAGGTAAACACAGTTCCAATTTGGAAGAACATGTGGCCACACAGTTTTTGGAAGGCGCTGGAGAAACTGCTCATCTTTCAAGTTGAACTTGCCCATGAACAGCAACTTTGGGAGTGCTTTGTCCTTGGTACGCGCCTTGCTTTGGCAGAACTGCTTGCGCATTTGGGCAAACAAGGGTTTCTCCAGGTTGACCGTGAGCTTTCCATCCTTTGTCCTGTCCAGGACTTGGTTCACTATCTTGCGCTGTTCTTCTGTGCGCCCCTTCTTCATGCTCAAGGTCTTCTTCCAAGCCTGCGGAACATAGTCTGGCAGAGAGCCCTCAGACAACAAGGCCTTGAACTTGTTGTCCTTCGACCTGTCCTTCTTGGCCTCATCGCACTCAAAGAAGTCTGCATTGTCCTGCTCCTCCTCCTCCACATTCTCTTGGTCATCCTCTTCAACTTCTGGTGCTTCCTCCTCCTGATCCTCCTGCAACCCTGCTGCCCAGCCCTGAGCTGCTGGTTTCTTCTTTGGCTGAACGGTCTCGCCACTTGCAGCAGGCCTTTCCAAAGAGTTGGCCTTTGGCTTTGCCTTTGGTTTGCCCTTTCCCTTTGCTTTTGCTTTGGGACTCTTCCCTTTAGGGCTCTTTGCTTTTGGGCTCTTTGCTTTGGTAGCAGGTCTCTTTTTCACAGGTGTACTGGGTGATTTTTGCTCACCATCTTCCTTCTCTTCAGGTGTGACTTGGCCCATAGGAATCTCTTCTTCTGCCATGCCAACAAGCTACTGCACCTATCTTTCAAATCTTTCAAAGCTTTTTGAGATCAATCTAGCTGCAAAAGTAAACAACAATCAACAAGCCAGCTGCGCAGTAAACTCGCAACAACTTCAATTTGGACAACATACAGTGCTGATCAACTCTTTGCGCAAAAGCATTACATTCTCAGGTAAAGGATAAATTCTCAAGAATGCTAGGTATGTTTTTGCTGACAAGATGATGCAAAAAATACAATTTTTCATAAAATCTGCCAAAAATGTATGAACTTTTCATGCACTTCTGATGTACTTTTGATGTACCTTTCAAAAGTGTATACACTTTTGATCAAAAGTGTATACACTTCTGTTAAAAGTGTATACACTTTTGAAAAGTACATCAAAAGTACATCAGAAGTGCAGCAAAAGTGCATCAAAAGTTCATCTAGAATCCATCAATATTTTATCTTAAATTTACAGTTTTCTGAACTAAATTTCATAAATGCATATCAAATGCAGTTCAACTCACAACAAGACTAAACAAGACCAAGCACACAGTTCCAAGTTGAATGGCATCCTCATGTAAAGTATACTTACACAAAGTCTCAACCACTGAAGTAGAATACACTCAAGTAAAACAGTCCTCAAGTAATGTCTGCCATGCTCAAGTAAAGTGTGCCATGCTCAAGTAATGTCTTCTCAACTAAACTCACATCCTCAAGCCAGGGGTGAGCTTGAGGCTTCGCAGCATGGACAACAAAATCCTCAAGGTAAGACCGCACTTGTCAATCATATCCTCAGTGGTATGGCCTTTGGGCATTGAAGAAAATTCTAAGTCCCTGTTTGCACTCATTGCCCTGAGGGTCACACTCAACTTGGTAGGAGTGAGCTTTGTGTTTGGACACACTTTCACCAAGTCAAAAAGCAAACCGGCAACTTTGGACAACCACTCTCCATGAGGAGCTGTGTGCCATCCATAGGACATGGGGCCAGTGTGGGGTGGGCAGATCAAACTCCATAGATCCTTCTTCTGCTTGAACTGCAAGAACCCTGTGAGGGCACCTTGGATTGCAGTGACTGGGATGCTGGGGTCAGCCGCCAATCGAAACCTCCCACTTTGCTTCACAGCAGCTTGCATCTTTACCTGCGCAGCTGCTTCCAAAGCAGCCATGGTCACAAACCAAATAGAGCTAACAGTAGCTCACAGAGCCAAAAGATCTCTCACATAAAACCCTCACACTGGCAAAAACCATCAGAGAATCAGAGAATGCTCTTCTTCCTAAAGTGAAGAAACGTCCATATCCTCAAGTAAATTTCCTCCCTGAAGTAGACACCCTCAAGTAAAAAGGTTTTGTTCAAGTCAAGAAGGGTACACATGCTCAAGTAAATGCAATCCCTTCAAGTAAAGGCAAAGTCCACACCTCCTGGCATGCTCAGTCAACAAAAACAAAAATCCATAGCGCAAATATCCTCAAGTACATGTTGTCCTGTAGAAAACCTTGCTCTTTGGACAAAGCCAACTCACATAAATTGAGACATTTTCTGCTTCAAAATCCTGCTCACAAAAATTTACTCATAACCTAAAAAAATACTCATAACCTAAATTGGATTTACTATTACATTTGCGTAATTGTTTACGTAAATTTTCCTCAGTAAAGCCAAAAATTTACGTAAAATTTATGGTTAGTAAAATTACTAATTTGGGTGACTTAGGGGA